TTAAGCAAACGAGCCGAACACGAACACACTTTTTGAGCTCGAAATATAAACGAGCCGAACACGAGCTGAGTATGGCTCGCTCGTGTTCGACTCGTTTACACCCCTAATTACATTAGTATTCACGACCCGACCCGACCCTAAACCTAAATCCAAAAAATTTTCCGCCATCATAAAATTATTTCACGCCTCAAGTTGTTCTATTCGCATGGTGAAGAAATTTTTATCTGGTTTGTTCACAGCTCCGTCATAGCTAGGTATTGTTGGAATTTTTCATGGACGTTGATATGTCGGAAGTCGAATTCTCCATAAACATTGAGATATTGGAAGTCTCCATAAACGCTGAGATGTCATCATTCAGCCTGAACTTTGAAGATCACGATCAAGTGAGTCTTGGTGTTACTGTTGTGTTATTTTGGTGTTACTCTGGTATTACTCTTGTTTCTTGTCTTTGATTTAGTACTGTTTATGTGGTATAGGGTTTAGTTTAATCTAATGTAAACGTTGGTGTTGATGTTGTGTTATTGGGTGTTGTTCTACAGTGTGGCTTGGTATTACTATGATTTTTTTTTGCGTTATTATGGTTTTAGGCTTCTAATTTTTTTTTGTTACTCTTGTGTTATTCTGGCGTTATTGTGGTATTACTCTATTGTTATGTTGTTTATTGCCTTTTGATTTTTGGGTGTTATTCATTGCGGCATTATTTTTTGTATTATTATGGTATTTTATTTTTGCGTTATTATGGTTTTAGGCTTCTTGTTTTTTTGTGTTACTCTTGTGTTATTCTGGTGTTACTCTAGTATTACTTCTGCCTTTGATTTATTACGCATATCGTGTTATTATTGTGTTATGTTGATGTTGCTATGGTTTTATGCAGTCCTTTGAGGCAACACACGTTTGTAATGATCCAATTACAAAGAAGTTTATAAGCAGCATTATCTACAATGAGAAAGAAGCATATGAAAGCTATCGTGTCTATGCACATCAGGTGGGATTCACTGTTCGGAAGGACCATGAAGGACCATACTGACCATACTACCTACTGGTCGAACTCCAAGAAACTCAAGGTTAAAGATTATATTTGTGGAAAAACTGTCTATAAGAAAGAGTCTAACATCACAGTTAAGTTCAGAAAAGCAGACACGAGGACTGGTTGTAAGGTCATGATACAATTTCATATTGATTTCGAAGGCAATTGGACGGTGGCAAAATTCATTGAAAATCATAATCATCCTCTGACCGAAAGCGGTGATAAGCATCTTCTTCGTTCCAGTAGAAGGATAAGTGAGCTCAATGCAGATGTGTTGAGATCCATGATAGGTTCAGGGATCAGAGCAACACATGCATACAATTTCATTGCCACGGAAGTTGGTGGTGTGGAGAATTTAGAATGCACCAAGAGAGATGCATTTAATTTCATCCAAAGAGAGAGAAGACAAATAATTGAACAGGGAGATGTCAATGCTTTAATACAATCGTTCATGGAGAGGCAAGCTGGGGATAGCATGTTTGTTTGAGATTTCAAAACAGGTGAGTCTGATAGGTTAACAAGCATATTTTGGAGTGATGGATTGTGCAGGCAGGATTATGATTGTTTCGGGAATGTCATATTTTTTTTATACAAGCTACAGATTAAATAAATATAACTTATGTTGTGCTCCATTTGTGGGGGTTAACCACCACTAGCAGAACATACTGTTTGGAGTTAGATTTCTATCTGATGAGAATACTGAATCATTCACGTGGTTATTCAAATCATTCATTCAAATAATGGGAGACAAACATCTCATAACAATCTTTACCGATCCCGATCAGGATCAATCTCATAACAATCTTTGCAATGAAGGATCAAGCAATGACAAGAGCCATTGCAGAATGCCTCCCACAAACACGTCATAGATTATTTCAATGACATATCAACAAGAAATTGTCTTCCAAAGTACACTGTGGAGTGCGTACTAAGAGTGTCTGTGGTTTTTTTTACAAATGTTTGAGCAAATGTGATTCTGAGGAGGAGTTCGAAGAAACGTGGTCTTTAATGATTGAGTTGGGAGAACTACAAAGCAATGTTTGGTTAGATGAATATTGGTTAGATGAAATGTATCGTATAAGGCATAAATGGTCAACAACATTTAATAAGGATATATTCGGTATGAGAATTTATCAACACAGAGAAGTGAGTCAACCAATAATGTTTGTCATGGTGTTTCAAAGCCAACTAGCACTCTCACGGATTGTTTTATCGATATTGAAAACATAATGAAATCATGGCGTCGGAATAAGAAAGATGAAGATTTCAAATGCGGTCAGTCCGTCAGAAAGGCCACAGGTAAAATCAATCCCATGCTGAGGCAAGCTGTCTCATTTTATACAAGGAAGCTTTACTCAATGTTTGAACAAGAGCTATTGAATATTATATGTGGACTTACATCTAAAGTATCAGTGGAGAGTGAGACTAAATATTACGTATCAAGATTGGATGACGAGGGGACAAGGCAGCCCTGGAATGTGTTAGCTGACAAGATTACTTGTGATGTTACATGTAGTTGCAAAAAATTTGAGATGATGGGGTTGTTGTGCTCCCATGCACTATTTGTTCTAAGTCTAAAAAAAAAAAAGTGATTCCGGAGAAATATTTCTTATTGCGGTGGTCCATCAATGCTAAAAGGGACATGTATAACAGACTTGGGTGCAGAGAGCTAAAAGACTATGGCTTTAATAATGTTTCTTCAAGTTTTATTATATTCAGTTCATGCTCTCATATATTCAGTTCATGCTCTCAGAAATTTGCATATCAACTCATTAATAGAGCAAAAGGAAATGAGTTAGCTGAGGAGTGTTTGTGGGAGACATTTAAAACATTATCTGGAGATATTGAGGATGCTATAGTAGGGAGAACGATCGAAGTAAAGAAAATAAAAAAGAAGAAGAAAATCACAACTATAGAATGCAATGTGAGCGACCCTGCTAAAAAGAAGCCGAAAAGAGTATCTACATCTAGGCTGAAAGGACATTGTGAGAAAAATAAAAAAACTAAAAGTATAAATTTATTAATTTAGTATTTTCTCATTCCATTCCATGTATAATGCATAATTCTAATTTGACCAATTGCATCCAGGAATGGAACAAGAAGCAGCAAGTAACCGTCAAGCTGTGGACGCATTCAAGCAAAGTTTGACAGATTGCCTTACCCAGGTATGTTGATAAAATTCAGTATCATTTCACTTACTTTTATATAAAATAATTCACTCAAATTGAACTTGGTATTACTCCCCTGCTACATGAATACTATGCATTGCAACTAAGTGAAACATAAGTGAAACATACAACAATGGACTTTTGATGGATTCCATAAGTGAGAATATAGATTGATTGATATTGTAAAAGTTGGTATACTGTATCATATGTAAACTTTTTACGAAAAAGAAATTTGTGGTTTATAACATGTTTTTGTTCAAATATTTCTGTTTTAATCTTGTTCGAACATAGGTATCAATTGTATAACACGTAGATAACACGTCAATAACACCATGAGCAACACGTCAATAACACCCTGAGTAACATGTTGAATACCACTGGAATAACATTAGATTAACACGCTGAACAACATCCTGGTATACTGTAACAACTTTAAAATGTTAATAACACTGCAGTAACACGTAGATAACATGCGAGTAACACAAGATAACCAGCTAAATATCCGGTTGTTACAGGCTTAGTAACACGTAGATAACATGCGAGTAACACGTTGAATAACACACTTAGTAACACGTTAATAAAATGGGAGTAACACATAAGTAACACGTATGTCAATGACTGTTACAGGCTTAGTAACATGCGGGTAACACGTACACAACATGGGAGTAA